TATATATATGCAGAAAGAGGCAGGAAAGGAAGGGAGGGAAAGGGAAGGAAGAGAGAAGATGGCATTGAGACGGAATGAGGAAATTTAGGACAGATTTAAGCAGTTATCGGCTTCCCAAACTGCCAGACTTAGCTTCCACTCTTCTTGGACCCTCAGGTTCAGGTCAGTGAAAGTGTTGCCCAGAAACCCAAGAGCCTAACTCGGCTAAACTTCCTTAACTGCTCACATTCTCGAACCTTTCTAGAGTAGGCTTACGCTCCCACCTCCGCCAGGGGTTCTAGCCCTAGCTTTTCGCTCCCAGTTGCTTTCCTTTCCAGATGAAGTTCGGGCCAAGCCCAGTGCGCAGCTACAGTTCGAGGTCAGCTGGATTATGAGCTGCTGAAAGGTCCCGGCAGCAAATTAACTGAAGGTATTTTATGATGATTTTTAGGGATACTATAGTCACCTTTGCAAAGACACGTGGCTTCTTCTAATTGCGGCAACTAGGTCTTTGACCTGGGTACTGCCAAGAGCGCCAACTCCCTCCCGCCGCTTGACTTCTCTCCTTGCAAGTTCTCTGCCAAACTCCAGGCTACTCTAACACTCTCTCCCCAAAGGGAGGTGAAGGAAGGTGAAAGAAAGTGCTCTAAAAGGCTTAGGCTGGCAGGCAGCTGGGCGTCCCTTTTCTTTTTCTGGGAAGTCACAAACTCTCTCTCTCCAAACCCGGGCAGGCACCCCTAACTGGTTCATTGACTGCACCCTGAGAGTTGGCACAGGACCAAGGGATACTGTGGGCTGGTCCAAAGTATCTATAGAAGACTTCGGAATTCAGGCAAGAGCTGTTCCAGGCTCTGGGGCCCCAGGTTCTCGACGCGGACGCGAGGGCCTAACACCCTAGCTGACCCTGCAGCACCTCCCCCAAACACACCCAGGCTCTGGGCACCGTGCTGTGAGCCCCCAGGTGCCGGAGGTTGAGGATGGATTGGGCAAGTCCAGGATGGGGGAAGGGACGCTGTTTTCCAGCCAATGTCTCTAGGCCAGCGGGATCGAGATCGTGGCTGGCGGATTCAACCCCGGAATGCGGTGGAGGGCTAGGGCTGCCAGCGGTTCACCGCCGGCGGAGACGCGGCTAGACCACCCGGACCGCAGCTTCAAAGCCTCTTTCTCCTCCACGCCCTCTTAGTTCGAAGAAAACTGGAGGAAGGCAGCTAGGTGACTTGGAAGGCTGTGCAGCTGATCTCACACCGCACGGGGATAAAGGAGTGCGGGGGCGCCGGGCAGGAGGGACCCGAGGGGCGCGCAGAGGAGGGGCTGTTCCTGGCAGCAGCCCCAGCTTGATAAAGGGAAAGCCTCGCTTTCCCTCTCACTGAGTTTGATTTGATGTGTCACCGGCGGTGACCTCGGGCTGGACCTTCCGGGGCTTGCTTAGCATTGGGCTCCTGATTGGAGCGTTTCAACTCAGCGATCTAATTGAGGGTTCATGTCATAACACATCAAACGGTGTCTAGTCTCCCGTGATGGAAGGGACCCGCTAACCGCTCATCCCCAGCTTCTGGCAAGGACTTCCGCCCCTCTCACACGGGAGTTAACGCGCCAAACCCCTCAATATCCCCTCCCCCGACCCGGGAATAGACAGGCTAGGAGAAAAGAGCCGGGGGGGGGGGGGTGCCAGAGCAAAGCCAGTTGCGCTAACTTGGCGCCTTGCCTCAGGGAAGTTTAAATCGCTTCAGAGTGGTAGGCTGGGATCTAAGGAGCCCGGGTCCCTACATCGGAGGAACCTCGAAGCAGGTTCACAAGCTGTGAGAGACTCACATAGTATTTGTGAAAAATAAGTCTTGCTCGCCTGAAAACGCATGTTATATCTGAAGCGGGTGGTTGAGAATAGGAGGGAAGTAACAAACTTCACGAAGTGAGTGAAGACGACCCCCATGGATCTAAAAAGGCCCCACAGCATGTACCATCACAACTGATACCTTAAAATTCAGCACCCGCCTCCCCAAGGAGACCTCATCCAAGTTTTAAAAATGCCCTTCCTTCTGGTTTGCTCTTTGAACTTTGAGGGGTAATAACAGTAGCCAAAATTGATTGAACTTTTACTGTGGGCCAAGTACTATGATAAATTCTGTGCCATAAAGGATCCCATTGTATTCTCACCACCATTGTCAAGGAAAGTACCACCACCACGGAGTTGTTTTACAGGTGAATTAAGGAAGACGAGGAAATTAAGTTGCTCAAGGTCCCACAGCCAGTGAGAGGTGAAACCGGTGTAAGATTCTAGTGTGCTAAACCAGGTACTGCATGGATAGTGTAAGTAGTCCAAGAATGCCAGCAGAAAGCAGAGGCAAAAACATGAATATATAAATAAAAGGTGAGATTTTTCTTCATGGCTTCATGCTCTACCGTAGTATTTTAAGACCTAATTAGCAGTTTCCACGGAAGTTTGGGTTCAAGGGTCTGAATTTGTGTTGCACCTGGCTTCCTCCTTTTAGTAGAGGCATAAACTATGTTACCGATGACCCTTTAAAATGTTTTCGTATTTTGCTTTAAAAATTATTTTAGATCTATAGCGATGAGAAACTCTCTCTCTCTCTTTCTCTCTCTCTCTCCCCCCCCCCGAAAGCTGGTGAGACCAGAGGGTCAGAATGAACCAGGTTAGATATCATGAAATTACAGTTAGCTAATGAAATCACTCATTAAAAGACCAGTACTGAGGCCCTAGATCCCCAGCTCTGGGGTTTGGGCAAGGCCGGCAATTAGAACTTATCAGAATTCAACTGTTGAGGGATAGGGGGAGGGTGGTGGAAAGCAAATGGCAGAGGGAGAGGAGAGGAGAGGAAGAGAA